TTTTCTATAAATCTCTAAACCTGGTGGATGTCTCCAAGCACACTTGGCCTAAGAAAGATTATTGACCATCAGTACCATAACAAGAATAACAGAACAGAATGGAACAGAACAGAATGGAACAGAACAGAATGGAACAGAACAGAATGAAACAGAACAGATGGAACAGAACAGAATGGAACAGAACAGAATGGAACAGAACAGAACAGATGGAACAGAACAGAACAGAACAGAACAAAGTCAAGCCATGCAAAAAGCTCAGTCCCTCATGAAAACCTATTGAGTGGAACTTAGTGGAAGTCTGCTATTTAGTAGATCAATCATACCATGTGCCTTCTGAGTATAGTAGGGCTCTTCATGTATTTCAAACAAAATTCACATATGTAGATTTTCTTCATTCTCTGGAATTCCTCAGGATAAGGTGATGAGTACCATGTATCAATCTCATATATGCCAAAAACAATACATCTACAAACTGGTCTGCCGTTAACAGGAATGGCTGGTTCCTGAATAAAACAATAAATTAACAATTATTAAGCTAAATAAATTATAAGTGCAGCCCTATAGGTATTCCATAATTTAAGTTGTCAGTCACATTAAATATATTGTCTAATCTAAAGATAACAAGCCCACCTCTTCATTGACTGCTGCAGCCTTCTGCCATGCACTTTTAAAAAGATTTAAGTCATAATCTGAAGTAAGACCAGTYAATCTGTCTTCATCAAGCTCTTCATGAGGTACTTTAACACTTGAGTCATTTTTTATGGGGATAAAATTATTTGCACTYGACGGCAGAGGTGTGGATTTATATCGATCTGTAGTTGAAGGTGTAATGTCGCTTCCTCTCATGGCTGAGCGTATYTTCTCAGGCATTAAAGAAAGAGCTACTTGTCTTCTTAGATCTCTSCGTGGTGTTTCTTCAGAACTTAGATTTGAGTTTGCCAAGGTTCTTTTTGAAGTTTTTGTCTGTCTTTCCTGGCTAGTCTCTTTTAATCTTTCTTCAGCTTTTAACTAATCAAACAAAAACAGCACAATTTAACCAAAGTCAAAGCAGAGTACAAAGTAAGGTACTTTCTTATGTATAAAATGAAAAATGTAGATGCTGACCTTACATTCCTCTGCTGTGGTATTATGATACATAGGACAGCCGGATATGGTGTGATGTAAGTCAAACTTGCCAGTATAATGGCCCAATCCATCGCAGCCTGGTGTAGGGCACTTCTTTTTAATMCTGTATCTTGAACCCTTGACAGGYGATCTATCCACAGCAGAACAAGCATCAGAATCTTCTGATTCTGTACTTCCTGTATTGTTATCTGAGCTTTTAGCCAACATGGAAAGTCTGTATTTGGATTTTTTGATGTGTGCAAACTTTGGTGCCTTTCTACGCCTTCCYGGACGTCCTTTGAATGGACTTTTCRYGRCTCTAGGTGACTCATAAGAGAGTTCTGTGTCTGATTTGGGTAAACTTGGTTCAGGTGATTCTGATTTTGGTTTAAACTGCATTGTTGTTTCTTTGCAAAATTGACATTTCCAATTTTCTTTGTSYCCATCATCAAGAYTTGGAGTGATACAAAATGTGTGGTATCCCCTGTCACAGCTACTGCATGTTATAAGTTTAGACTGTAGGAAATGAAGACATTATGCAATCAAAACCAGACTTCTAGGTATAATCAAGCTTAAATGTATAAAATATAGCTTGCAGTCTATGTATTTAATACACAACTTCTTCTTGAACTACAACATTAGCATCATAATGAGAGAAAACAATTTACATACAGGCCATAGAGAGGATTAATATGGTTATATATAGTTATTTACCTTTGGTCTCCTAACAGAGCATGTCTCACATGTCTTACAAGATGAACACTGCCAAGGATATTCCTTGACAACAGAGAGAACATCATCGGACATCTTTAGACAAGACTGATGACCTACAGAAGCATACATCATTATTAAAGRAACAATTTATACATTTCATAGATAGGTTATCTGTCTGTCTGCTTTTTCTTTGGATTTTAAAGAATTCTTGCTAACTTCCYGACCTTGCAAGACTGTACACAACACTTTGGTGTTTATTCTTAACCTTTCTCCCAAAATACTGTTTATATGGTATTTATGAATGATTCCTAGTATGTCTTACTTGAGTTTCCACATTCTGAACAAGTGACCATTTCCTCTGCATTTCCAACATCATCAATTTCAAAACAAAGACAACAGTCCTTGATTGATTCTTGCACACTTTTTTCAGTRCAAAGACGACTAGACCTTCTTTTACCTTCAAAGAAGACAACGGCATATTATAATAATTTCATTATATGTAATAAAAATTAAAAATAAATTCTAAATTATGCATTGTCATTATATTTATACAGTACAATTGTTTGGGTATTCTGTGATGACAATGAGACAGGAAGCCCAAATGATTGTTTTTATTTACAAGTTCATTTGGTTATATTGCGTTGCCACTAAGTTTGATTAACTTGCTATAAAATTAAAGTCGCGATATAAAATGTATAAATATTCTTATAGTAACAGAGGRTAGTTTATATTAAGATAGAATATCGGCAAGTGAGTTTAATAGATTAAGCATAAGCTTAGCTTAAGCTTACCTATTCTGTGAATCTTCCTTCTCTTCGCCCTTGGGGAGAAATCGCCCGTCTTTCTAGGCGACCCTGAACGTGACGGCATGCTTTCACTGTCTCCAGTGTCTTCTGAAAGAGTTTCGATGTCGACATCAAAGTCAGAATCCGAATGTTCTTCAGATGATATCAAGCGCTGAAGAAGAATGTGACGCCATATTAAAAGATCGAGAAAACGTGGAAATTAAATCAAAAGTAATATCTTGGAGCAATATGAACTACTTTAGCAATCAAAAATAACTTACCCTCCGCCTTTGCATTTTGAGGAACAGATAAGAGTGAAAGTATTATCAGAAATATGTTCAAAATCTTGGTATCACGAGATGCTTCGCCGCCATTTTATTTTGAGCGCCAAACATTCGTTTATTTAATAACAATGATTCTGATTGGATAGTAAATARCCAATCAGAGTTAGCATAACATTTTTTCAGCTGTATGCCTAGCGGGCAGCGGTATCCCAAACAACATGGCGGCAGTTTGGTTATAAATACTTCAGCTTTGTCTTTCATGAAAATCTGCTTCTTTAAATTTTTTTTCAGGAGTCATCTCTTGAAAATCGAGCCCAAARGATCTGTATTTATGTTAAGATGTACAGATTTGCCTAACGYTGTTGYACTTTAATCGCTTGATTTTTTTGAATATAACCATGGCGGACGAAACWAATGAAGAAGTTGAAACTTGTGACTTCAATGGCGCTCAAGTTACGCTTCCTATTGATTTGATAGAATCGGTAAGCTAACTGTTTTATACACATCGTTCTTGATTGACTGCTGTTGACATTGATAAATATTAACATTTATATAGAGTTCACATGTCAATGTTGTTATGTTTGTGTTATAGCCTGAAATCTTCTCAAGAATCATCAGTTTTGATACGTGGAACAATGTCCTGACGSCAGAAAATCGAAAATATTTAGAGGTATTGTTATTAATCTTCTCAGACGCATAGTGACAGAGTACCATGAATAATTTATTTATTTTCAATATCAAGTTGTAAAATAACAAATTAAATAAAATAAAATAACTATCACTGTTACAACAACAAAGGATCGAGAACACTAAAAAGAAGGAAAAAAAATCAATAATGGCCAGTACCTTACCCAGTATTTTTCACATTGTGGAGCAGTAAGAAATGACACAAAAAACACCATTTCCTTGTATGCGATTGTTTCTAGCTATTGGTGCACTATCAGTTAATGATCTACACACTTACTTGTAAGATCTATATAGTTATGGATGATTTATTGGACTGCTATTTCTTCTTTCCCTGTAGCAATTTCTTCCTCAATTGCCCACAGATTATCCTCATGCCCAGGAAGATAATCTCAGGTATTAAAACCTTAGTTACATTTTTACTTTATTATATCGCATAGAACTTGATTATTGAGATGCATTCACTAACTAGCGTCAATCACTACAGAGGAGTCAATGTACTAATCYTACTGGTATYGATGCATCATAGTGCCTCTGACCTTATGATTACCTGTGAAATTTTGAAAGGTAGTYATRCCTTTGCATCAAAGAAAAATGACTGGTGAACATGTGATGATAAAAAAACCTTCTTTTGCACTGGTCTTTATCATTGCAGGCTCACTTGAATGTCCTACTTCAATGCTGAAGTAGAATTCCTTTTAATGGTGGCACAGGGCAATGTTAAGGGAAATGATTTTGACTTTTTCTCTTTTTTTCTCTTGAAAGAGCACTATTTGATGGGGATAATTTTAAATTTGGAAATCCAGTTCAAGATTTCCATTGTAAATTAAAAGGTAAGACCATAGTTAATAATTAACTATGGTAAGACTGATAAAGCCCTTATTCAGAAACTGAATTCTTATTGGATTTGTTCGTTATTATTATTTTAGATGGCTACTTTTACCCTGATGTTGTYAAGTACAAGAAACTTTGCAATAAGGCAAAGAAAAAAGAGTACAAGGTAGTTAATTGTTATCGCCATCTAMATCTATTAAAGTACTGTGAGTCATTCTTATAAACACTGACCTTTGTCTCACAACGTTCAGAAGATTTCATTTGTTTAGTTTTCTTTCATTTTAATTCATTTTTTTGTTCTAGCTACAACTGCAAAACTACTACAGAAAATTACTTCAAGAAATCATTGTTTCAAGACAGGTATTTGCAAGATGGAATTATTTAATGTGTAACATCTGCTATAAAATATGCAGACATTTATCCCACCATAATGTKCTAGAGCCATGACACCAACTTTCCCTCAAGTGTTGTTTTCATTATAGTGTAGACATTTATTTATATACCCATCCAAAACTAAAATCTTTTGAATTGTAATGATACTTTAGGAAATCTTTTTTTTTTGTTGTTTACTTTAGGAAATCTTGGATCAAGTTAGCAGGCAAGGACCAAATGATCCAATCCATACAAGGTACAGTATTATAATTATTATGTACTTGACATATCTTTATGGGCAGATATATTATGAACATTTTTGATTTTTTTTATGTTTTATATTATATGTTACTACATCAGATCAGCATATTCATTGCAATCACCAAATGTTAGAACTTAAATTKTGTTTCCACTGAAGATTGTCATGGACTAAATACAGTTGTTATATTTTCAGAGGAAAAGTGGTTTCAGAGAATGGTTCGTCTGTAGAACAACGTGTGTATTCAAGATTTCAAAAGTGAGTTATTGTTTGTGCTAAGCATATTTGTCAATCCATTTTACCAGTGAATATTTTAGTTACTATATTTCATTTAGTTGTGTTGTATCATTACATTTTTGGTTGTTTCAGAATTATTCATGAATGCAAACAAGAAAGTGAGGTACATTTGTGATCATTAAAAAAAGTCAAGGATATGCTTGCTTATGTTGTGCTAACTTTAGTTGGCAATTTCATTTGCACAGGATCATGGGATTTCATCAGATGAAGAAGACAGGATACCAAGTAAGTTAGAAAATTATAAAGTATAATTTATTAATTTATAAACTTACATTAGTACTTAAGAAAACCTGTTTTATCAAAATTATTTCAAATAYATTTGGTTGTATGGTCTGTAATCAAACCCAGACCTGTAGGTCTCATCRGCTAACATTCATGTTTCGACCCAATCAAATAAYCTGGGACTAAGTTCCATRATTTACYTATTAGGTCACTTTGGAGGRTTAGCCTATGGTATACCAGGGTTTCCTGGTCCACCTGGAATGTTTGCACCACCTGGATACCATCCAATGATACCTCCAATACCTGGTATGCCTTAYGGGTTCCCATTTCCCACCCATTCTCCCCGCCAACCACTTGGTCCAGCTAATACTGCTATTACAGAAAAAGACTTTCAACAAATGCTACAAAAACATAAGAAAAGAAGAACATTGAATGAAGTAAGTATAGCACAGGTTGGTGATGATGATCAACAATGATGATGGTGTTAATGCCATTTAATGGTTATGATAGTGGTGAATAACMGGTGCAAWTGGTATTTACAGGAACATCCAGAGCTGGACACTAGATTTACAGCATTATCAGATGTTGTCTACAGAACTAATCCATCCAAACGACCTACTAAGACAGGTCAGGTTTTTAAATTCATTTGAAAGTTTATACATGTATATCCACTGATGTCTTTTTCAACTAAACAAATTACTAAAATAATATAAATAATGCATTTCATTTTTATTCAATTCCAGTCAGCAGTAAGACCAACACTGTGCAAACACCTCAAGGTATTACTATACATTGCAACTCTTATTGATCATTTGTTGCAATCTTATATTAAATTCTTTATCATTTCTCTATTTTTTTCTTATCAGTTGAAGTCAATAAAAAGAAAGATAAAAAAGCTAAATTAAAGAGAAAACTTAAACAACRACTACAGCAGAAACAAGAAAGACAGTCACAGTCAAAGAAGCAGGATAAGTCATCAGATGCTCACATTACTCTGTATGTCTATTTATTGATATTACTATTGTTATATCATCTTAACCATCATCATGGTATTCATCCTTTTATTGCAGACCACCACCTCCAGAAGGGAAGTTTTCCAGTTTCTTCACATTGTTAAGAGAAGTGTTTTATAGCATGCCTGATTATAAAGCCAGCTTACACAAGGTAGAAAGTCTATTGTCTTTGTGATATAACTAATAATAATGAGACAGTACCCATGGGCAGGAAAAACAACAAAAYGTGATGATTGACAACTGAAAGAGAGATTAGATGGGAGCAGGAACTTGAAGCAAATATAAAAAAGSTTGTACTATGTGGTTCCCAAACAGTGTAGTTGATGGAAAATTTTCTTACCTCTTAACATTTGTGTAATGATATTGATTATAATTAACTTTTATCTAGATTGAAGAACAAATAAAGGCTTGGCAGGTAACTGTTTTAATTCGATATTTTAAGCTATTACAAAGATGTCTATTGCAAATATTTCTCAATCATATTGACAATTGCTCTTCACTTATTAAGTTWTGTTTTAATACAGAGCTCTCCATCCTATTCACTGAATATCTGGAGCCAACAACAAAGTGACTGGGCCAAATTGGTTTATTCCTCCCTTATTTATATCTCTGGAAGTTCTGGAGGTACTAAATCAAGTCTACAAACTATTGTCAGTTGTAATGAATTAAACGCTTTTGATTGCTCAATTTATGTTGTAGTTACCCCATCAAGCTTTGTCCCTCTGGTRGATTTCAAAGAAAGACCCCAACAGTGGAAGTGGATAGGTTAGTTCRGAAATGATTATTTCTTTATTGTTCCATTCAATTTGTAATACTAATTTRTTTTTTCTTTTGAAAAGGGGCTTTCCGTGACTCTGATGAAGAATTGGCTATGTTATGTCAAGATTGGATTCAGGTCAAGGACCAATTTTCCATCAAAAAGGTATATAATCCTGCAATATATAGCAATACAAGGATCTCTGTTGTCTTTGCATTACAGGTRATATGCAGATGGTTTATTTAACAATGGTTTCTTCTTGTCTGATTCCACAGGCAACTGCAGAAGGTGGAAGTACAGTAAATGCTCCAGAAGCAAGAGTGTAAGTTTTCAAGCTTGGTCCCTTTCATTTTCACTTTATTTCTTCAACGTTTGCAATCATTATGTTATTTCAACAGGAAAACTGACTACGTTGTACGACCAAGCACTTGTAGTGAGCGAGATGTATTCAGAGAACARGAAAAGAAGCGCTATTTGAATCCACATAAGGCCTATTCATATAGAATGCATGGTTTTGAGTCTGTGGTAGGACCAGTAAAGGTATGAAAATTCGTGAAGAATCAGTTCTTGTTTTMACTGGGAAATGTCTMAACGTAAAACAGAATAAACAGTGTTTTGGTTTGGGTRTTTATCCTTAAAGATAATGTTTGGTTTTAGGGTGTGTTTTCCAAAGAAACAAATCTAAATAAGGCACGGGAACATTCTCTACTAATTTCAAATCGCCCACCATTCGTGACGATTTTGACTCTTGTGCGAGATGCAGCAGCAAGACTCCCTAATGGAGAGGGAACCAGAGCAGAGGTAMAAAGATAGTGATGTGACTATGCTGTATAATGTSAATGATACAATAGAATGGTTGAATGACTGATGGATGTATTCACACATTTGTTGGATGACGGATTGAGGAAGTACATGTTTGATTGTTCACGTCAATTGTTGTAATTCTGATTGATTGATTGCTTATTTTTTCTTCTCAAATTCAGGTCTGTGAACTTCTTAAAGATTCACAGTTCTTAAATCCAGATGCAACTGATGCTCAGGTAAGAGTTTTTAAAACATATCCAAATTGAAATTTTCCCGTTATTGTTATTTAACATGACCRTTTACTGCAGATTCATACAGTTGTCAGCGGTGCACTTGATCGACTGCACTACGAAAAAGACCCTTGTGTAAAATACGACAGCAACAGAAAAGTCTGGATATATTTGCATAGAAACAGAACTGAAGAAGAATTTGGTAAACTAGTTTTCCATCATTTCTCAAATTTTAAAATGTTTACCTCATTCTATTGTTTAATTGGTATCCGGTTGATCACAGAATACAGRATTAATTTAGAATTCTGTTTTTTTCATGTAGAAAAAATTCATCAAGCAAATGCTGCTGCAGCAAGAGCAAAGAAACTCCAAAAACCTAGAGTTCCTCGTCAGGCCAAAACTAAAGAAGACAATTCTCTGTTAGTCTCAGAGACAGTAGATCCYAGTGCTGCTAAAGCAGTACCATCACCACAATCCCAACAACCAGTCACTAAACCASTTGAAATGAARAAAMCAGGAATTAAGATTAAGATAGCAGGAGGAACAACAAGTGACCATCCTAAAGTGTCTGTGATAACATCTTTACAAGTGAATAAAAAGCTAACCCAACCTTCAAACACAGAAACCAAAACTGCAACAGTTCCTTCTCAGCCATCATCATTGATTRCCCAGACACAGTCAGGTGCTAAGTCTAAACTGAACACTGCTGGGTCAAGCTCCAAGTCTCCCACAGGTATTCCTTCRCCTGGTCAACGATTCACAAGTGCRCTAAACTCRGCTAATGTCTCAGTGCCACAATCTGAAAGTGAGCAGGTTGCAGCTGAGTCATGTGATAGAAGTGGAAGTGAAGTTTCCAGTAGCAACAGTGAGAATGAGAGTAGTAGTGGAAATGAAAGTAGTAGTGATGACGAATCAGTGGGAGAACGAACTGGGGGCAAAACTAAACAAGGTAAAGTTTGCATTTATTTAATTTTCTAGTTTTCATTTTGATAAATTGTTCAAGCTACATGTATTGTAAGAGTAATTCAGCCAGTGAAACAACGTACTAATCCACCAAATTTATCCATGAGTGTCCTTGTGATGGAAATTTTTGTGGCATAAACATATCAATCCAGTGGATTTGTCCCAGGTATCATAGAATATGTCGTGAAATAATAATGGCAATACTGTAATTATCTTGCAGGAATGGAACCTTTTCATGATGAAAGATTGGCAATGCAGACAGGAAGCAATCACTTGCCATTACCWGAACAAAACAGTCAGCAGTCATTAGGTGTGTCAACACTAGACAGGAAACTRTGTCTCGTTTGCAGATATCCATGGATATCAACATGATGATACAGACAGGGAACTCCAGTTATCCTAAAAAATGAAAAATTCGTATAACACTCTTTGTTTTAATACTTCCTTTCAGGATATACTTCGATTGGAGGAGCATCTTTGATTAAGGATGGAAATGAATCAGATGAAGAACAAGACGAGTCTACAATGAGTGATGGTCAGTTGTTTGTTGGCGTATATTATGTTTATTACTCTAGGCTATAACTGTTGTTTTTGTCTTTTTATCCAGGTTCAGGAAGTGGTAGCGAATCAAGCAATGAAGACTGATTTAACTAAATATAAGAAAATGTACTAAAGAAATGTAATCTGTACAATAAAATATTATTGTTTAACAGTTTGTCTTKGTTATGTTGATCTCCGTATTGATCTCCCGCTCCCCAACTAATACCCGGGAAATGTTTGGGATTCCTGTGTTTTGCACCCATAATGCACTTTTGACGTTGTGCAAAATGGCKGCCACGAGGGTTCGAAACTTTGAGGCTTTRCTCAAATTCAAGATTAAAAGTCCAGAAAGACGGAAAAATTTATACAAAAATTTAATYACAGCTCTTGTGCAACATGAGAGAATTGAAACTACGTTGTGCAGATGTCAGGAYATGTCGCGAGTTGCAGAGAGGGTAAGAAACAGTGTAGAYACTTTTGGAAGAAAATCAAGCATGATCACATTAGAGGGTTAATAAACTTACTGATTGATAGTCTCTTCATGAATACAGCTTATTGATCTTGCAAAGGAAGGAGATGAAGCAACCATCAATAGTTGGCTAATGGTAAGCTTACTAGTATGTACATGCTGTGAGAAATCGTGTTTAAAAATCTAACGGTATATTTTATTGCACTGCACTACCTTACTTAAAGTCCACCTCACCCAATTTTTTTTACAGTTGGAAAAAAAAGTTTAGGAGTTATAAACCACAAATTCACATAAAAAAAATTCGAATTTCCAAATTTTATATTTTTTATGCTCGTTTAATTCGGCCAAATGATTTTTGGCCGAGTGCGAGGGAGCCTGNCCCTGCGAGCAGAGTGTATTTCCTTACCTCAATAAAAATTCGCGAAGGAAAATAACACTCTGCCGAAACCTTGTAATTTCTTTGATCTGCCGATAGCCCAAGAGTTGGGGCTAGTCAAGACCGGTTTTTCCTCAGTCAAACTGGTTTTTCTGCGCGCTTCTGAATAAATGCATTGATCCGGTGACCAAAACTGAGCCCACAAGCATAATAAATGGCGTCTATCATTCAACACTAATCTTCAAAAGTCTTCTTTTCTAGTAGATCATTTAAATTATCCTCTCATCAAGAGGAAAGAACCTCAGCATTTATTTGTGGAGGAGAGGCGTTTGTTTCGTTACTGACGGGGGCGCTGAAAATCGCTGATATATCAGCTTATCGTTCCTCTAGTAAATAAGCTGTAGTCATCCGAATTCAAGAGAGTTTCCTACGAAACAACTACTTTAAGTGGTATCGCCGTAACAGGCAGTTGTTGTCGATCAAATCAAGTCTTGCGAGAGCGCTTTCGTGCATGATATTTTAAAGAAGAACGGATCATAGTTATATACAGATAAATGCGGAGCTCGTGTTCACAAGTCCAGAGGTCAACCGGAAGCGAAAATTACGCGTAATGAAGTGTGGAAATCAATCAGTTTCTAAGCAAATAAGAAATTACAAGGTTTCGGCAGAGTGTTATTTTCCTTCGCGAATTTTTATTGAGGTAAGGAAATACACTCTGCTCGCAGGGTAGGGATAATCCAGCCTGAGACGGCAAATCTAATGCTACTAGAGATTATTCTGACGATTTGAACGTTATTTCATGTCTTGGCTATAAAAATGGAGCCAAAGTGTTGAGAGATTATTCTGGACAAACAAGTGTTGCGTATAGATCTAGATAAATATCGAGGAACATGAAAAGTTATTTACGGCCCCAGGTAAGTAACTTCTTTCAATATATGTAGGTAGTATTTACAGCTGTTCAAATTCCAGGTTCTCTTGTTTCAGATTTGATTTTTACTGTCATTTCACTGTAGGTATCTATCGTTGTCTCTCGAACGACTTACTCCCTCTACGTCATCACGAAGACATTGATCAGGCACACAGGAATCCCGAAATTGGCTTTGTCCGCGGTTGTTTTCGCTTCAAAATGTAGTTTAAATAAACGAAATCAAATTTGTTTGTACAAATTGTTGTTACTATGACAAAAGTCTTTTCTTTACAAATATAAAAAAAATTGGGTGAGGTGGACTTTAACTTAAGTTATAGAGTACAAACACTAACACTGTGCAACATAAATACCACTAAATACTGCTAAATTATGCTAATTATGTTGTTTTCTATTGTTTAATTAACACTATTTTGTAGTAACTTAAATAGTGGAAAGTGTTGCACACATTTAATGTTTGTACTCTACTATTTAAGCTTAATGCACCTATCAATGTTAAGCCCCCAGGGGAGGAGGCCGGGCTAGGGGTGGGGATTAGACATTTTTTCATTTTTTTCTGTCAAATGCCCCACCCTCGGGCTGCTGAATGTGGTCAAATGCAGCTAAAAATCCCCACCCTGGGGACCAATTTAATGGTCAAATGTCCGCAGTTGGGATGAAAAGTGAAATCATTACCCAAAACAAAGTGAGTGAAATAAAGTGAGTACTCATTCTTGATTCAAAATTATAGTCCTTTGTGTCCTGTTTTTAGGCTTTCTTCACCTACAAGAAGCAAATAGTTGTTTATTGCTACTAATTATAACAGTAGACAAAAGATAATCTTTGAAAAACTTTACCATTACTTCCTAGACATCCGCCATCTTGCCATGTGCTATGAGATATCTGCGGGGGGTTTTATAGGGGCACTAGTCTTAAGTTCTCCTCAGCTCTCTATTACTCAGGTAACCCAACGATGGTTGGCAAATATCCCCACCCTGGGGCACTGAATTATTGGCAAATGCCCGATCCTGGGGCAGTAATAGCTAGTCTAATCCCCACCCCTAGCCCGGCCTCCCCCACTGGGGGCTTAACATTGATAGGTGCATAATTATGGCGTAAATAGATGTAACCATATATAATTTATTTAGCTGCTGGAGAACTCTTAACTGGAGAAAGGGAGAGAGGGCAACCATGTGATGCATGGAATAGAATATCACACCTTGCCTAATACTTTATTAAACTGACTCTTCTAATTTTCTTTATCCAGAAAAAAGAATTAGTGCCCAAAGTGTTTGGCGAATTACTACCAAGATACCACACTATGACAAGTGGATACACAAGAGTGTTTAGAATTCCACCAAGAAAGGAAGATTCTGCAAAAATGGGAATAGTTGAATTTGTWGGCAATAATCTACCACAGCTATTACCTGATGAAGAAGAATTGAGAAGGCTTAAACTTGAAAAACTTAGACAAATACAGAAATATGAAGTACCTTTAGAAGGTACCCCTGTGTGATAATAGCACAGAACACCAAATGAAATGTTGTAAATATAAAAAAGGAATACCAGAGCTGATTGTCAGCTAACCAAAGAAAACTGGTCAACAGATGACTGACAATTGAGTTTTGCTAGACATCATKTCCTCTTACTTGTCCCTGTTATGTTTTACTTTGTTCTATAAAAACTTGACCTGAATCAGTTAGAGCTCATCASTTACGAGCCTTAGCCTCCTTCATAGTCAGGACATTAATGTAGATTGGGCAAACTATATCTGTGTGACCRGGCCAAGGTCCTCATTCGAGAGTATTTGACTCTCACTAGTGGATGATTGTCATAACCTCACAAAGTTACGGTTAGAGTATGTAACTCTGATTTCAACTAAATAGACTAYATATTACATTTATACCCAGACAAACAGAACCTTACTGCTTGTAGGGTAGGACAGAACTGGTTTAATCACATGTAACACAAGCTTATACAACGACGAAGCGATTTCCGGAACGCGCAAATTGATTGACAGGAATATTTTACATGACATTGAYGAAAGACAAACACTTTTAAAATAACGAACTATTAATGTCATTTGAAGTTTACAAAAACTTCACTTGCTCACATCTGTAACAAAGCTGGTTCTTTGGCTCAAGTTTTCTTGATTTAACTCCCAGGAATGGTAATAATTAAAACACATTAATAAACCATTGTTGTACTATTTTATTTGTGATGTTTACATAGTAATAATATCAAAGAAGAGTTAYTTTCCATGTCTGCAAAAAGAGAAAGTTTTCCTAGTTTTTACTTGTTTATAAAAAAACAAAAACGAAAAAACTAGCAGTATATYGATCTGATCTTTCATCAGCTATATATCATTGCTGTTCTTTCACAGATGACAGACAATAACTCTAATATGGTCAGAATCCTCTTTGTTCACACTTATATTAGAAGTATATTTACAAAATATAAAATATTTAGTCTTAAAAATCAAATGGTTCCATGATTAAAACCACTTAAAACAGTCACTAGTGTAAATAGGACTATCYCAACAAAAAGAAAACACTTCGACATGATTTATGTAACTATTTCTGTCAGTTTCCAGTTATTACAACCAAAACGTTCTCTTGAGGAATAGAAAGTTATGAAAAAATCTGCTTTCTCTATCAGCAAGTCACTTCAACTTTAGATGATACATGTAAGTAAGGATTAAACATAAATTTCTCTCTAATGTCTGAAAGACATCAATATATAACCTTTCTTCCACTGAAGCGATCATTAAGGGTAGTACCAGTCTGAAATCACACAATCATATATATTATTAGTAAGACCCTATAAGGGTGTTTTGTAGTCTCAAATGTATCATAAGTTTTGAAAAATTCAATGAATAGTGCTTTTTTTAATTAAAATTGTGCTTCCCACCAGCCATATTTTGTTGTTACCTTTCCAGAGGCAAAAGCTGATCTATTTATAGAGAATCCCTTTCTTGGCTGATTCTAAAGAGGAGGACAATAAAACTATGTATTGACTTGCTTATGCAAATTATAGTGGACAGATGTTTCAACTGATTTTTTGAGGAGAGGGGGGACTATAGCTTTAGATAAAGGGCCCACAAAGATTGTTAATATCCTGTATGCGTGCGGCAGTGCCTCTTCCCCAAGGCAAGAAACATTCTGACATTGTTGTCCAGTCTGACTGCAACCTCCACAATCTCTGGAAACCTATAAAAGCTGATATGGTTAATGAACTCAATACCTTAAAAGGTTGCTGTTGTMTTGTAGTATTAGGAACTGACACTCTTAATTCATTCACAGATCCTCCTGTTTGTCTTCCTTTAAAGTTTTTTCTTCTCTGTCCTTTATTTTGTTGAGGCTGGTTAATAGTTTGCCTGATATATAACAGAATCATAAAAATGTTATTCAACTATGGAGCTTTTCTTAGAAAGCAAAACAATATGAATAARATAATCAAGAGAAAAACATGACTTGTGATATTCTACCTGTTCCTGTTACGACGATTGGCATTTCCAATGCCTTGGGCTTGATTTGTGTTCTGATAAAAAAGCATGAAATCATTATGCTGTCAAAAATACTCTACAATAGCGTAAAACTGTCAACAAGGTTCATGCTACCACTTGAAATCCTTGAAAAGCCCTAGAATTGAAAAGGGCACTTGAAAAGACCTTGAAAATAGAAAAAACCTCCTYGGGTTTGATACAATCTACTCTCACTTAAAAGTTTTTAATTGAAATTTGAAGATTGTTATAAGAACCATAGTCCTGAACATTGGGAAACATTTAGTGCGATCTTAAAAAGTGGTCTTAAAAAGTGAACTTTTGTGTTTAAAAAGTCTGGGAATGTAGTGATAAAAACATAGCACAGACCCTGATACACCTACATAAAAATATGTTGTCAGATCATGAATAATTTATACTTTGTATGAACAGTACAAATGTAAAATATATTTACTCCTTTTAGTGAAGTTTGCAATAATGTTCTTACCTGAATTCCTCTTCTTCTATCAAGAATATTCTGTCTCGCATCTTTTCTTCTTGTTTGCTGATTTTGCCTGTTTTGGTTTCTATTTGTTTGAGCTTTTTTTATCCTGTTCACCATCTGTTTTCCCTGTAAAACATTGTAGTAGATAACTCGTCAAAATACTAATTTATTGTAGACTTTTCAATTAATAGAATAATTTCTAAATCATCTCAGAAATCTTTTTCCCAAAAACTCACTTGTTTATCAAGACCACTAACAAATAATTCAAATATGAAGAAGTCTGGTAATCATGATACTTACAGCTGTGTTGAGTGCTTGTCTGTTTTTAAGCCTATTTGCCAAAACTCCTCTCTTTCCTCCAGTCTGTCTGTTGTTCATTTGGTTACCACGTCTAACTACTGCTCCTTGTTTCTTATTCACACCTTGTTTTTTAACTCCTTGATTTTGTCTTTGGTTTCTATTTCCTGRTGCTTTATTTTTTTGTGTGTTTGCTCCCTTTCCTTTTTGTTGTTGTTGCTTATTTTGTTGAAGCTTTTTCTTCTTGATCATTTCTTTTCTCTTTGCTTTTCTTTCATCCTTGATTATTTCATCTAATCAATAAAACAAATGGTAATTTTCTTATTCTATTCTCTTGATATTTTCTTAGTATTGACATATATATATTATTGCAAATATCAGAAGCAGTCAAACTGTCATTTTTTTKGCATAAAAAAATTTCATTTAGGATCAAGGGGAGTGTAAACATTATGTCTCACCCAACAAGGACTTCAGGATACAACTGCTTTAAATAATAAAATGTAACTGAATTTAATCTATAGTGTTATGTGATATTTTGAGATCAGCACCAGCTATTATTTTGAATTAATTATTTACATCATGAAGAGATTTACATGAACCAGCTAAAYAAATAATAACAATTGTTAATTACACTAAAGATTGTTATGACAATATATAATACTTATTAACTGGTATAGAACTTATCAATATTAACAACACATGACTGATATAGAACTGGGTCCTTATCACTTAAAGATTTTAATGTGAAACATTCTAGTTTGATAAGATGCAAACCTGTAAGATAAATCCTTGTGAAAAAGAGAGCACAAAGAGCACAAATGATTCAGAGGAAGACAAAAAACATGACTGTTAAAACAATTTCAATAATAGTAATTGTCTATTCAATAGCAACAATGACTTCACAGGTTGAAAGGATTTCTTCTTAAAAGAAAACCAACCTAATAAACAAKTTAAATGCTTCATAATAAACTAGGATTAAATATCTTATAAAAAAATGTATAAAAATAACTCAAAAGGGCAGATAAGTGCACTGTTTGCTCAGAGATTGATGTAAACTTAAGTTAGGTTATCTGGAAAATACAAGTGCAGGTCTGGGTTACTGAGTTTGCCGAAATTATTGTAGAAAAGATATTTGCATTTTAGCCAAATAATCTAAGTTAACTAGATATGATGACTTAAAAATACAAMGTGTAAAATAACTAGTAAGCTTATCTAACTTTTGGATGTGTTTTGCTGGACTAAATGCTTGCTTTCTATTAAAAAGTTCGTTTGAAATATACAAATTACAAGCCCTAATTTAGGATCCAAATAAAATACTCAATGTTTCTTTACTTACCTAATGATTTATCAATGATGCTAGTCATGTTGTATAGAAAACGTTGTAGGAGCTAAACTGCAAGACAAACTTTGTCAACCGACAGTGAAAGAATATGGACGCTTCTTATTACTAAGCCTCGCTTCAGTGCTGCCACAGGCAACCCATCACACAGACGGGCGGAGGACATGTAGGGGATGTAGGGGCTTTCCATTTAGGTAGAACTGGCCGGCCAGTCCGCTCCATTTAGAGATATATTATGCTTTTTGTCAACATCTTTAGGATAGAATTTGAAAATTTGAATTTCTCAACTAAATAGGAATGATATATAATGGCATTTTCTCTGGGTCTGGCCAGCCAGTTCTGACAAATGGAAAGCGCCCGTAGTTACGGATAATCTTACGGATAGTACATCCCAATAAACTTAAAAAAATGAATAAAAACTTGAATAACTCTTATTCATAGACATTGCATTTTCGAGTGGTCACGATTGCTGAGCCAACGAGCTTCCTTATAAAGAAGAAGAAAACAAAAACATGTAGCAGCTAAAGTTTCGTTTAATAAGTTTAAAACATTCCTTCGACAACTAGTATTCTTTGCCACGCTTCGCGGAGGTCWTCGAAATAACTGTGACTATGGAAAAACAGCTGCGTAAGTTTCAATTCTTGGTTACATGTTAAACCAAACWATACTTCTTTTGAAAGGGGCCTGTAAAACCAGCTTTGTTTGAACAAGATAAACGGAGAAAAATGTTTTTTTATGTTTTCAGTAGAATTTAGACAACTACATTAGCCACATTTGGCAGTTTGGTAAAAGCTATTTTCATATGTAGGTCTCACTTTATCTAATATAGATATCATATCAGAAATAGTGATCGGTTAATTCATATGTCGGGATAGACTATTRACAGTGATGGTACTTTTCTAATTGACACARCACGCAGAATTTTATTGGAAAGCACKTTTTTGACGGTCGGTAACTTCCGGCAAACTGAACTGAAGTGGCCCCTCTGAATATTACTGAATATTATTAGAAAATAAAAACTCAAACTATACAGTTTATCTGCCTTGCTCTATTGTGCAGGAGTGAACTTCTGATGCAGTATMTTGCGTATTCCTTTGATTCACTGCAATTTTTCCGCATTCCATAAACTTTCCGTTTTGCGGATGTTTTCTGAAACTGAATTCCGCAAAACAGTTGYACGACTACGTACGAGATAATCGTCAGTTCCGTTCACACCAGGGGCCAAGCCCTGCAAGAACTAGTCAAGATTCAGGGACCGTGGAGATGCCAGGTGGAAACAAGCAGGTAGAGGAAATAGACCCCGCAATATACACAAAGAGGGCTTCTACAGAATGAATTGTTATACTACAAAAAAAAGGTCAAATTCTGAAATGATTATCGTGAGCAAAAGAGGTATGGAACGATTATAAAAGTTGATGGTTACTTATAGCTGAATCGTCGAAATATTCGAAAAATCAAGCTGTTTATAATCGACTTCARAAAATGAAACAAAATTCACCGCACTGTGATTGGCTGTTTTATTAACAAACACAGTTAAAATCACTAGGTATGGAACGATTATAAAAGTTGATGGTTACTTCGTTCATATGTCGATGGGAAAAAACTGACTACWGASAGWGCAWTAATGAAGCCACCCACATGRATACGTTCAAATTATGAATAAAATTGGAAAAACAATTAAGTTGAGTCAAAAGTAGTGAGAATTAAACCAGTTGAGACTAAGAATAATAGCTGAATCGTCGAAATATTCGAAAAATCAAGCTGTTTATAATCGACTTCAGAAAATGAAACAAAATTCACCGCACTGTGATTGGCTGCTTTATTAACAAACACAGTTAAAATCACTAGGGTTGAACAATTTATATTTTGTGCAGCAGTGTGCTCTAGCGTCAGTCGGCAAACAAAAAGGTGAAAAGAAAGTGCAAACATTTTGATCATAACTGGAAGGCTGTGAAGCAGTACACAATTATCACATATAAAACAGACTGAAACAAGAGACGACGTGCAATTTCCCGTCTATGCGTTGATAGAGAATCGTCTTCCGGGAGCTCGGAGGAGAAATAAGAAAGGTTTTAGTGACAAGAATCTCCTTCATGTACATTCACTGAATTCATTCACTGAATTTTTAGCAGAAACGATTCGTCTCGACGAGCACTAGCCAACCAGTGATCAGCTTTAGTGATTTTTTCAGTCAACAAGCTGTCACCTACACCTATTCTAAATACAGCTGAAAACTTCAGTCGAGCCGTTGAATGAAGGGTGCCCTCAATTCCTAGAAACAATGGAAGTGAACTCAAGCTATACGCAAGTTAATAACAGTGTCTGTGCACATCTACCATACACCGTTAACATGGTCCCGTACGTCCATGAAGGAGGCCCCGAGGCTGTTACAATCTTGACTTGTGTGTTCAACGCCGTATCGTGCTTGTTTACTTTGATAGGCAACCTTTTGGTGTTTGTTGGAGTTTTGAGTAAACGTGATCTACGTACAGTACACTACACTTCGATATTATTCTTAGCATCAACGGATTTATTGATTGGAAGTATTGCGCAACCTGCATTTGTAATCTTTCAAATCAGTAAACTAGGTTCTSGATCCGGATTCTCATGTGTRGCACTTGCGGTTTATACATCTACTGTTTTTCTATGTACAGGTCTGTCCATTTTAACTCTTATTGTTATAACTTTGGAAAGATACTTTGCCATATTTTATCCTTTTAAATACCAAAACCTAGTGACAAAGGCAAGGATGATTGGATTGATWCTTTTAGTATGGTTGGTATGGACGGTGTTTATTACTTTAATTCGATTCACCACGACTACAACAACCTCTACGCTTGGCACTATCGCTACGATCTTGATTCTAACCTGTTTGTTGATAACATTGTTTGTGTATTTAAGGGTTCAGAAACTTGTCCTAAGAAACCGCAGAGCTGCAGCCCCCAGGCCAGCCCTCTCGGGAATGACCAGTTGTAACAGCGAATCATCGCCACAAGATAGAAACATCCCTGAAACCAAGAGCTCTCGAACTGTGGGCATTTTAACCGGAACACTAGCTCTGTGTCTTTTGCCAACAATAATCGCCTCTGCGATCATACAAACTAAAGCTACCAATAAAGAGACTTTATAYCATGTTATCTATCCACTGACAGACACTGCCGTTATACTCAATTCAACATTGAATCCTTTTGTATATGTAATTCGAAGTAATATTATTAGAAGAAGTATCAGGGACTTCATCAAGCGATATACCAATTGCTAACTACAAATTCACCGGAAAAAATATCGAAAAAAAATTGGGCACTGTAAAAATAGAAATTAATTGTTGAGCTAGTCCTAAAAAAATACGATAATTAAAACACAATTGTACATAATTAAATTTTCATCAATTTTTAAACTATACGTAATCCATGTTTATTATGTTTTATGTATTATACTCAATTAACTTAGTGAAATAAAATCAGCTTTATTGCTTTTTGAACTTAATCTCAATAGTATATTTATTTTTCAAAGCCATCATGTTACTCAATATCCGATAGTAAGCTAAGCTATGTTTGTATTTCATTATATACATGCCAAGTCTATAATATCAAAAAATACAAAATACTCGGTAAGACGCATTTCAAAAATGTGTTTCTGGCGATTTTTTTCCTAAACAAGTGATGCAAAATGGAATAGTGACTCTTCTCGGTTGTTTTCAGAACAGAATGTAGCCRGATGTCCTCTCTCGTCTTTAATTAACATTTTATTTACACCGTCAGTTGTTTTATAAATATTTCATTTTGCAATCAGGATTCTGTTGTGTGTGAAAACTGAGCACGTACCATTCAAACTATTTCCGTGTTGAGTCCACAACGTCAAAGAAATGTCACTGATGGCCTAAGTCCCTGTTTACAATACATAGGGTGTACTGAGGTAGTAGAGTCAAACCCTTCTTTTTTCTGCGGGGGATTTAMAACAAAAGACTTCCTAGGGGCACCATATCCCATGTAAACACGGGCTAATTAATTTTCCGGAAACTCAGGCATACGATTAACAACTTTCATTGAGTATTGATTTACACTTATTTGGAGTTACTTTGTAGGAAGTAACCCAGCCAGTGACAATTCACAACAAATTATGTCAGCTWCCGCACTTTTGTATGAGTTAAAAGTTAATTTTCATTAACTCGCTTTTATAAAACCTTTTAGTGTTTACACTCTAGCATATAATAGATAATATTGGTAATAGTGTAATAGTCGAGCGATATTAAACGTAAATGAAAATTATGAACGCTTAGTCGATAGCTGTCATGAAACCGTCTGTAGAGACCGAAACAGCTTCCAGCAAYCTTTCCATATCATGGCAACTGAATTAGAACCAATAACTCTCTTATAAGTCCAAAGTGCTGCATGAAACATTGTCGGACCACCTGTCAGTACACCAATGCRTGGGWTCAAAAATTGTAACACGCTGGCGTCACCGAGTCTGAATTAAAATTTTCAATGTGATTCTCGCTCAACTAATTTCCAACATGGTGAAAGAACAGCTTAAGAAAGCCGAAGCAATATCATGAGCCTATTTTGTCTGTAGAGAAACAAATGGGTGAATGACATCCCGGGGGGGACTCCCTAATATCAAAGGGTGGGGATCCTCGGCGGAGATTGTGAAAATGACCCCTAAAAGGTACCTCTATTGTGAGATGATGGGCGTGGCAGTGCTGAAATTTCAACCCTAAAAGGGACCAATCAATAACAGGTCATTTTGTTTTGGTTTACCGATTATATTTGTGTTTTTACACAATCATCGAACACCGTCGGCTCGTATTGAGTTTATGACGACGTTGCCATTTTATGACTGCTTAGGGTCGCCGTATACCCTAAAAGGGACCACAAAACACAATTGGTAGGAATTCTTGTCATGATCACCCTAAGCGGGACCAAAATACTGATGTCAAACCCTATAAGGGACGCCGAGGACCCCCGCCCTTTGATATTAGGGAGTACCCCCCGGGAATAACATTCAGTAAACTGACGGACGCTCACTGTCATAGATATAAAAGTACTAGTAAGTGCCTCCCAGAATGAAAGAGATGCTCTACCATCTTATAACAGTCGTTTTTTTTTAAGTGCATATGAACCAATTTAGAAAATCATTTTTAACAAAAGGCAAATATGATGCTAATCATTGTTTTGAAGAAAAAGTTTTTTTGAATTATATTTTCTGAGTTAAAGACATTTGAAAATTGAAAATGCTAATGATGTGACGTCAAGGGAGGATTCAGCTTTGAAAGAGTCGTAGCTCAAAAGTGTTTTCATGAACGCCAACTGGGAATATAATTATTCCCTACATTGCCTACAATAAATTTAATCCCATGAAATCCCATGAAACCATTTTTAAGCGACTTCTTTAAAGTTCGTATATTCAAGCCTCCCTTGACGTCACATCATTAGCATTTTCAATTTTCAAATGCCTTTAACTCAGAAAATAAAATTCAAAAAACTTTTTCTTCTTCAAAAACAATGATAAGCATCATATTTGCCTTTYGTTAAAAATGATTTTCTAAAATGGTTTAACACAGCATTGGTTGACTGTGATTCCYTTATTCATCTATTTCTACTAATTCCTTATCAAGAATTATATCAAATTAACATTACTATTATTACAATCATTTCCTAATAACATATAATTCAAAATRGACAATTATCCTAATTATTCCCATATTTACAGATAGTATTCATTTCCCAAAAGAAAGATAAAAATATAGTCTTCTTTTTATTTAYGTTTATCAATGTTAACCCAATAAGACTTTCTTCATCTTGTGCTGAGAAACAAACTCATCATCTTCATCACTACTGCTAAGTCCACTGCTAGAAAATGCCATTTCATCCCATCTGTCGTTCTCATGGGGCGAACACAAGAACTGCTCCAGTGGGACACGATACTTCCCGCAGAAGTCTACAAACTTAACACAGCGCACACTAGAGTAAAAATACACCCCTTTGCATCTTGGATTGACACAACGTCTTGCACTGTCCAGATACTTCACTAGCATTGGTGGCAAGTCTTCYGTGGAATACTTCATGTTAGAATTCTTAATGYATCTTGCAGTTAGCTCCAATAGACTGGGAGGATCAAAAACCATGTCTCTGACAAACCTTACAACTAAAGGGTTGTCCCTTARGCTCAGTGATTCCAAGTTCTTTAGTCTTACTAGTTCAACAGGGAGTGTAGTGAGTTTATTGTTATGCAAACTCAATGAATGCAAAGATGATAGCTTGTTCAAAGTACAAGGAATGGATTCAAGAAGATTATTACATAAGGTTAGAGCTCTTAGCTTGCGCAAATAGCCCATTTCTGGTGGTATATCAGTAAGTCTGTTGCCTCCAAGGTAWAGRATCTCTAACCTGTAAAACAGYAACAAAAATTACCCTTACCAATTAAAACTTAATATGAAAACACTTAGAATCAAGTCCAAAATCTTAAGACTATGACAAATTCATCTTCTTTGTTATCTGTACAATAAAAATAGACTGAACACTTTAGTGTGAAATTTGAATTTGAAACGAACTCAGGCGCATAGCGCGAAATCTTGCTGATTCATGGTGATTAACCAATACTTAGAAAAGACCTTCAGAAATACTTTCATAGCACGCAGTACAAAAACAATTGTTATAATGAATATAAAAAAGAATACTAGTATTTACATCAAGATAAGTGCACACCTAATAAAAACACGGATATAACTCAGCATGGTCCGGTTGTACGAAAGGTGGATAAATTTACTGGTTAAAGTTATGAACTCCTTAGATTTCATGTGGGCCTTTATCCGCAGGATAAGGATTTACGCGATGGATAGTGCTATTGACACTTCGTACAACCGGCCCAAGACATGGACGTGTCACGCGACGAAAGCTAGCCTGTCGGGTACTTAGCCATGTTTTAGAAAATATTGCATAATCCTCTTATTAGACTTACCGTCGAAGATTCTGAATTTGTGGTGGTATTCTCCTAATCAAATTCCCCCCTAAATGCAATCCTTTCAAATTCGTCAATTCAAATATCTGTGGAAGAAACGTGGACAACCTATTGCCACTCAAATTCAAGTTTTCCAGCCTTAYAAGCTGYCCAAATTCCTTGGGTAAATCTTCCAGGTTGTTGTTTTTGCCCACAAAGGATTTCAGTTGAGAAAGCTCAGTAATGTGCGAGGATATCGCTGCGATGCCATTTGAAGACACATCTARRTCGACKAGGTTATTGAACAACTTTATAGCATCAGGAATAACTGAGATGTGATTCCCTACTAAAAATAATCGAGTGATTTTCGATGGATTGAAGTTGTTGAGCAAATGTTCTTCATCGGGAAGGAACTGCAGAAAACGGTTCGACAAATCSAGGTCGAAATGTTTGAACTCTTCCTTTTCGACATGACTGTTRTCTTCTTCCATATTTGTTTACTGTTCAGTCATTCTCCGTAAATTTATAGTCTTCTTCTCACTTTTATTCAGCTCTTACTTTAATCGAATCTCTTCTCGCCGAACAGTCAGCAAAATTGGTTCCAAAGTCCACTTCGTGAAGACTCCATTGATTCACGCTTCCTGATTGGATAACAGGACCGTATTACGTTTTAGAGCCTTATATGGGCAGCAGATATTTCAGCAGAGCCGGGAGACGCGTAGGCTCAGTCTCCAGCCCGACGGCTGGAGACTGAGCCTAGGAGACGCGTTATTTTGTTAAAATAGATTTTTTTTCGCAAATACTGATTTTTGTTGCAAATAAAAATATTCCAGCAAGCGATGCTATAGAACTTTTTGGAAAGGAGCAATAGCTTAGTGGTATATGGTTTGTCAAGGTCACATACACCAGTCAGGACACGTGCTACTTTGTTTATARTCACAATTCTCATCACGCAAGGCTAATCATGTCATTTTTGAAAAAAAAGGTAAAAAGTGAGTCACAGTTCTGTCATTACTTGACCTGCTTGATAGTTGTGCAGTACCTCCTCTTTTATAGCCCTCCCAAAAAAGAATCATACTGGGGGTACATTTTTTAGGGGGGGGGGGGGGGGGGGGGGTAACATACTGGGGTTAATTCTTTTAAATGCTGCTTTAGACTAAAAACWTATATGGAGTCTAATAAAATAATATAAGTTGATTGTCTTCTTGAAAAAACGCAGTTTGTGGTGCTGATAGGAGACTTGGACTGCACGTATACTTAAAAAATATAATCAAACACCAAACATAAATTTTAACTTATTGGCCTTTTATTTTTCAATTATAACATAATTTCCATGTTATTTTGTTGTTGAGGATTTAGAGTGGATTCAACATATCTTGTGAAAGAACCTCTTATCAATGATATGATATTGATATGATAACACTTACTGACCTTACTATAGTGTAGTACACTTTGAATTTTCATTCAAATATACTAATACTTACTTTGCAGATAACTAGTAAATAGTTAATGCATTTCTAGTGTTATCATTATCTTCTGCAATATCTAGTAAAAGCAGGTTATTTCACAGATGTTTTTTTTTATCAACCCATGAAAGTGAGCACAATACCCTGCATAGTGTCCCTACTCGGCCCTCCACAATATCCCCTTAKGGCTACTACACAGGCAAGAGCACAATAAAGAGAATTAGAGTATAGTATGCTGAATTGTATTTCATGGGTTAATGAAACTACTGTACAGTCAATCCCATTAAAGTTGCTCTTGCTTAGACAGAAACAAAGTCTGACAATTGCATAAAGGTATTTTCAAAATTCCCAAGCAAGTACAATAATATGAATATAAAAAAATAAAATAAAAATCTAAACCTGGGATCTAAATATTATGCAAATGATTTTAGACTTAACATTAACGGGATTGACAGTATATTGTGGCATGCACTCTACAAGTCTCTTTTCTATTGCAGGGTTTGGATTCATAGCCAACCACATATGACTAGTCTGATTTTCAGATAGGACTGCGTCCAATGCTAAACGCTTTCCTCCCAAAACTCAATCTAAATAGGATAAAGCATTAGCATCAATCCGAGGTCCATCTGAAAATCAGGCTACAACATGCTACCTCTTCAAATTATTTCCAGTTACAACAACAAGCAAACATAATTAAATGAAAAATATAAACTTTCCCTAACCATTAATATAATTATAGTATAGATCTATATAAGAACTCTTTCTCCATGTAGGCAGCAACAATATTATCATATTTAACACAACTCTGACAATTATTGGATAGAGCACAAGAAACCTTAACAAGGAACAGACAATTTTTACAAAACCTGCTAGCAATACAGAAAAACTTGAAAATACTGAAAACAATCCAGTTGCCAAATGAATAAAAATGTTTTCTGAAAACAGTAGCCTGTATATTGTTGTKCCTTGGGATTTCTGTTTGATTAAATAGGGAAAACAAAGGCTGATAAACAGAGAGCTATTCAATATTAGCCAAACCTTCACTATAGTTTCATACCCTGAAAACAGAAGATAATAATTTAAGGTGCAACAAACTAGAGAAGAAAAAAAAATGCACAAATTTCATTGAAACACAGATCAATGAAATGTAAATTGCATAGCATGCTATTGCAATGCAATCTTCTTTAAAGAATTTAATTGTACTGTTGACAATTAGAAATGTATTTATTCATAATGAATAAATAACATAAAACTGTACTTCACTTATTTCATAATCTGTATTTTGGCTGCTGGTCCAGAGCACTGCACTMATTACATTTATCATAATTATATTACAACTATCATGCCAATTCAAGGATCTGTGTTTCTGAGAATAATATCATAATCTAGAAGTCTTTCACATTGACCAAAACTGATGCACTGATTGCATGATTTTCCTCCAACAATTGAYGTTTGTATTAATAAAATAAATAGAAGGACATCATGAGAAATATTGCATGATAGACAATCTTAAAGTATAATAAAGTAGACTAGCGTAAAATATACAAAAATATGAGTATATACAATGAAGTTTCCTATGTAATTCCCAAGAGAAATTTGCACCACTAATCCTTAAAAGCTTTTAAAAACAATCAGTTCTGCGCCTATTATCTCTTGGGTTGCTGGAAGTTTGAATCTCTAAAACAAGATCTCTAGCTTCCTGTGGCCAAGAACCTGATTTTTATTGCTGTTGAAATTCATTGACTTATTCAATGAAAGCAACCATCTGTCAATCAATGACCAGCAGTACTAGTACTACACCGTAAGTTTAAACTTTATCTAGGATCATTTCCAATAATTCTATTTCCAATAGAGAGTCAGTATAGCTAATAATTAGTCATTAACATAAAATAACAAGAATATGCCTGAGAATACTGCTCATACAGTAGCTTGCTTCTGGGTTACATTTCCCCACTTCCAACATTAACTTCATCTTTACCAGAACAAATGTGAAAGGGGACAAAAAGGACAAAGGTGAAAAGGTTCATTATTTGATTCTCTTAAACAAGATTTTTACACTAATTATTACACCTATAAAAGCAAATACATTAGGCTCAAATGCTTATCCWTCCTTACTCTAGACTGGAGAAAAGTAAGGAGAAAATATCAAGTTAAATGCCATCTTACAAAGGTATGAATAAATCGGTAACCAAACAAATAATCATACACGTGACCATCTAAAATACTTACATGTCCAATGGTTCAACTTCTATCATTATAAATACTGTATTATCTCGAATATAATTTCTTGTTTTTAAAGTCTCCTGAGAGACAAACTTTGGACACCCAAATCCTAAACTCTTGGCTTTATTAGGTTTTCCAAAATAGTCACTGTTTCGGTCACAACTTAATCTCCATGATTTGTTTTGACGATTGTTTATATCATCCTCTTGATCTATTAGTACAAAGTCCACACGCTGTTGAAAAGGCCATGGAAGCACAGAGTCGTAGTCCCCTTTCATTATGACTACATATAGTGAAAGATGGGTTCCCTTCCCTTGTCCCAGGCCATTCAAGAAGGCTTCWGCTCGTAGCTTGTATCCATACTGACCAGAGTAAAATGCTGGACTACACAGCTTTTCTTTTTCTTTTTTAGTAGCTGACTGTTGGTATAGTTGTGCATAGTTGGATATTTTCCATAAGAACTTGCCATTGGTACAAATTTTCTCCTGTCGTTGTTCTAATTCTCGTATCCTAATATGGGCTAAATCTAGATGTATTGCTATGTGTTCTTCCTGATGTCTCTCCAATTCATTTCTTTTTATCTAAACATCAAACTTGGATTATTAGTATCTCACATAATGAAAGACTTGGCTGTATATGGAATAACTAAAGAATGTGATAATTGCTGTACATTGTAAATCAACAAAGCAATGCAAACAAGCCAATTTTGGTATCAAGGTGGTGTTAAATCAGAAATAGTAAATATGACAGGACTACCACTAGAAGTTCATACATTCAACAACTTAAGTTACTACAGTATTAATGAATGTTGCATACCTTTACTTTACAGCCTATGTCATGATATTTACAAGGTATCACTGCAAGAGGACATTCCCCTTCCACATCTATATGAGCAGACATCTTAAATGCACACAAGACATAATGTTAGCCACTACACATGAGCTTTATAAAATGAAAATAGACAAACACCAACTTTRTCTTTAGAAGGACAAATACTTTAAGGATGATGTACATTTCTTTCATATTTATAGCATGTCTCTTGCTGATCATTGAAAAAATACCAGGCACTTAATTCATGCTAATGCATTGAAGCCAGTCTTTGGCAGGCAAGGGTCAAAAAATAAATCAATAAATATTGCTATCTAATTAAACAGGTTTATTTCAAGAAAATAAAAAGTTAGTCACAATAATTTGTTCTTATCTTTGCCATCAATAGCTCGTATCACAAAGACCATACCTCTTCCCTAGGAATATCAGTCCTTCCACAGTTATTAACACATTTGATAGGAACCCTCCGGCATGCTTCCATATGTGCCTGATATTAAACAGAATCACAACGAAATTCAATTAAGTTGCTAGCAGTAAAGACTGCTTTAATGACAAATTAAGTGCAGAAAATCAATTGTTTAGCTTACTGGAAGGTTTCCAAGTTCACCAGTCCAATAACACTCAGTGCCACTGTTATAACATTTTACAGGTAGTGACAGGACGGTTCTTTTGCATGCTTTATCTGGATATACCTTTGAAAATATGAAAATGAATGAATGGATTGAGCAATTTCTTAGTCAAATAACAATAATAAGTAACTGAAAGGATAGAGGCAACTTTAAAGAGATTACTATACCAAAACACAGCTCATTTTCAAAAATTTTGAAAATGAGCTATGTCTACTGAAAATTTATTGCATCTGGCAAAAGCTCTTGACCCTAAACTAATATCATTTAGTAGTTTGATAAGATGCCTCCCATATGTTGATATTAATTGCTGACCTTTGGATTAAAAAAACAATATGAGCAAAATACAGGAAGAACAATGGATAAGATATAACAGAGATTGATTTAATAATTAACCTTAGCCATAGTAGCCAAGGTTGTCTATTCAGAAATATCCTACAATTATCATAATTATGTACTACTATTAACGCAATTACTATTAATCAAATTCATTAATAATTCATAAGGTAAACACAATGGAAAATCATTGCCGTGACCACATCTTTATATGAGCAAGAGTCTGATTTGTCCTGATTTGCATACGACTTTAACTTGGATTTTCTCTTACAAATGATATTTTATCCTGAAGTTTTTTTCGAAATATGCTTTACCTTATGTTGGAATTTGATAAGCAATATAAAATATTCGCGTCCAACCTTTATGGGCTATAAAACTGCTCGCTTGCAGCTCACAGTTTTAAATGCCCATAAAGGTCTCCCGCTCATATTTTATATATTACTTAAAACAACTAACTAACTTAAATAATACCATGAACAATTCGGTTTCTGTTGTCTTTAGAGAGACATTTAAGGGCTAACATATCTTTTTCGTGAATATTGACAAAGAAAAATTGAACTAGTTTCTCCTCATATACACATGTGAGAGGGAAAATTAGATCTAATTTTCCCTCATTAATATGCATGAGTGAAAAATTAAAACTAATTTCCCCTCATACTATCCATGAGGGTGTCCCTTGAACAGAGTTGGTTATAACTCTGTTTATAATATTGGAACACTAGGTTCAGATGATGAACCCAATAATGGGAAAAGAGAATTACAATTAAAATAATACCTTAATGATATATATTTATAATATTAAATCATAACCTCTAAAATAACAATGATTGTTATGATCAAAAGATTTTATCATTTTTTATTTTCAGTATTTTTGTGTGTGTGAGTGTTTCCACAGCGGTTAATGGTTTCCTCGTAARYGTCCACTAAACCTCCCTCGGCCTTGATGACATTTTAATATGTAATAGGACTCCATGCTGTCTAATTAAGAAGTAATTGAAGTAGAAAAATACTGAGAACTGCCAAAACTTGACGAAGCCATTGGCTGAGTATGATAGTCAGTAAAAAATAAAAATAAATAATTATTTAAGTAATAGAAGATTTTTTCAGTGACTCTACTGGTGAAATAGAGCGCACGTGATGTTTGGAGAGACATGAGAAAAGTTTTAGAAAAGTCACAAGCCGGCAGGCGAGCGACTTTAAAACTTTTTCGAGTGTCTCTCCCAGCATCACAAGTGCTCTATTTTACTGGTAGAGTCACAGGAAAAAAAATCTTCTATTACTTTTATGATATAGCATTTTGAAATTTTGATAAAAATTTGGTTTTATTATAAGATGAATACAGATATTCTCCTTACATTGAGCGTGTATTATGTAAGATGGTATAAAATGTGCAAATTTACACTTTCAATCAAAAACTTTCTAACAAAATTCATGTGTTCAAGTCGCTAAATGGCTTAATTAAGAAAAAGTCAATGAAAACAGACTTTGAGTTTAACTCAAGGCTTGTAGCTTATGTAGAYGTTCTCCCCTTTCCAACCGCTAAACAGCGAGATATCTTTGTTGKTGTTTTGGGTCGCCGAGTTGAATACAGAGCTGACAACTGTCGCTGYGAGAGATAAAGCTGAGGTTTGTGGTTGTTCATGCGGCTGATCGTCTGCAGAATTTACTTCCCCAAGGGCTTGAGCCAAGATGTTACAACATTGGTGTAGTTGAGATGAAGAGGGCTTGTTGTAGCTTCTAAGACTTTTTTTGCTCTTTTTGCTTGAAAATCTTCCTGKTTATCTTTTTCTTTGACTTCCATATCAATTTCAAATGTCGGGTAATCCATATGCAGATTTCCGACAACAACAAAAAACTGTAGACTAAAAGCGCTAGAAATTGAGAATAATGTTGTTGTTTTTTTCGCTACCAGGAAATGACCCGTGACTTTACCAGCGAAATAGAGCATGGATTTTTCTAGGCTTTCAGCCAATCAGAGCGTGTGTACTATCTAAACTATATTATATAATGATATGAAATATGCTAGAATCATGGAATATTGGGCAAGAAAAGCATTGAGCATAATTTTCATTCATTCAAATGTTAGTGCACTGGAATAATGGAATTTTTTGTCTATGTTTTGAAACATAAACGTTTTATAAAACTAAATATTTAAAAATAATAATTATTTCTTTTTTACTTGCTTTTATTCATCGTGGAACAATGAAAATGGGATTTTATTGCACACCTTATGTAAATATTTTATTGAATATATTAGTTCCATGATCTACAACAGTAATAGATTTGTGAACGTTTTGACATTTTGACAATGATCGCTAAAATAACGCGTGAAAATCCTACAAAAATTTAACCCGATTGATTGTTCTTATTAGGAATAGCTCATATTATCATTAACTATCAGTAACTAATAGAATAAAGGACCACAATTAATGCCCACTAGCGAGGTACTTAATACTATAATGCCCATTTGTCTATAGTAATACGGTTCGACAGAATTGCAAATAACTTGATCCTGAAGTACARAATGTCGTATGAATGCAGTAAGTGTGTATTTTTTGTGTAATCGCATAATATTMTAAAAAATTGAATATTTTTTGAAACACTAAAAAAACTGTCGTTTTCGGTCGAACGTCGACACATTCGCAGTGACATCGCTTTTATAATTTTGCTTTTGTCTACACCATTTGATCAATTGGCATTTTGCTTCACGACAGTACAGCTGATTTAAGCTTTATCAAGCTTAACATGCAACTCTAACAAGCTTTAAAACGAATTAGAAGTACTAAAACATACATTAAATTTTCATTAAAAGCGTATCGATACAAAAAATATTACTTAGAGCGTGTTAAACAGTCYCTTTTTTCTTACCTTATCTCTCGAAATATTACGTCTATCTATAGGACACAGTGAAGGAGGTTTCCTAAAACATGACATAATACATCCATAGTCAGTATTAAGCAGTTATCGTGTTAAAGTCTGGATTTTACCCACCTCAAAATCGGCTCCAAACACGACTCACAGAATCGGTGGCCACAATCGCGCGTTTGAACCGGCTCTCGAAAAGCTAACTGGCATATCGGGCATTGATAGTCTACATGTACAGGGCTGACGAAATCTGCATCAAATCCTCCTGTTTGGTTCTTGTTCGCCGAGGAATGACTACTGTTGAACAGGGCAGTGGCTTGCGAATTTACTGCCGAGACGGACGCCATCTTGGAACATGCTCAGATTATTTGATGAATCGATAAATGATTAATGAATATCGTATGTATGGCAATGTTATGGTCGCTCAAGACAATTGAGATCTATCACCTGTACAGTTTCTCACTAGCCTATGCCTTTTAACTGGCTAAGAAGCGCTGCTTCATAGATGACAGACTGTGGGTATTGAAAAAAAAAACAGGCTTGCGACGAAAGACTGGTAAGGCCAGCTGAGAATCGTTACAATATACCACCCCACAGATTGTTTTATGAGGCCTGTTTTACCCTCGGGCAAAGCGACCATAGTAGKCTGTGAACAGATTACATTTTACAGAGCAGAGTAAAAATCACGAAATTCAGTGTAACTGCTATTTTTTATTAATAAGATATCGTGTGCCTTCTACAAAACCTCCAAAACTGAAAAACTATGAAACGCGCGGAAACATAAGTTGACAATTTCAAGCTGTAACATAGTTCCCGGGAAGTTTCGCGGGAAAATTTTCATACAAAACCTCAGGAAAAACAAATCGCTTGTTCAAATTTTTTCTTGAAGCGGCAATCAAGCTAACAAGCGTTAAAGCTAAAAAATAGTGCAGTGAATAGTATTGAAACAAAATGATGATTTCATGATAGCGCAAGTAATGAACGCGGTTAAAACAGCAAATGCATACATAAAAGTGTGAATGGATGAATCAATGATGAATCAATAAATAAATGAAAATGAATATCTTAAAAGCAAAATAAAGATGTTAAAACAAGAATTATATGAAATGTTTCTGAATTTCTTGACATTTATTGCTTTAGTGCAGCACCAAGTGCTATAATCACAGATTTTAGAAAAAWTACAAAGTGTTTTAGTGCAATATATGGCAGCCATACAATATGTTATAAACTAAAATCACAAGTGTCCTTCATTATGTACATTGTTATGTATAATATTAAAACTCACAAGTGCTGCTGAATTAGTGCCTCATTTAGTGCTGTTTTTGGTAACTTTGAATAACACGTAGCAGAAAGGCKGGTGCTTGATCAGTTGAAAAGTATATATTCTCTCTCAAAAACTTGGGCATCTTTTGAAGAAATTCTCCAGTGGAAGGAGTTTGGACAACAGGGCTGAACTCAACTTCGTCAATCTCTTTATCGTAAGTAAGATTGAACTGCATTGCTAAAAATCAGGAAATTGATAGTTAATGACATGTATGTATGTTTAAGTTATAGGTATTTGGATATATCTTCTTTGTGTTGATTTATAGTGTAATAAACTTACCTTTGCCATTAACACCTTTAGGCTTGTAAACACATCGATAGCTCTCAAATGATTGCACAGAGTCAGTCTCTTCTGTTAAGCAAATCCCACTTAACATCTGATAAAAGTTTATCATTGACTGAAAGTTATCATCCTAAACAACAACAGTACAATAACGAAATTAGTTGTACCAGAGGATTTAAATAGAAACACAGAAAGCTGTCAATAAAATAAAGCAAATWGTACAGTGGAAATAATAGGGACTTAAAATTAGTTCCATTTTTTTTAAACAAATTGATATGAAATGATGTAATAATACTWCTATTACTATCTATCCATTTTTTTATACCTTTCCAACCAATGAATTTGATGTCTTGAGCTGGATGTTAGYTTCTGTCAAAAAATATTGCATTTACAAATGAACATGAAGGAGATAGGTAAAGTAATTTGTACATTTTGACAAAAAAGAGACATATGGAATTGCTATGATAGTCATGCTCTTTATTTAGTTTCTACTGTAACACTAGCTACTTATAGGTGGATCTTTGCTGACGTCATTGTTTACATTTTATTTTTTTTTCGGCTAACACCACATACACAACTCTGTAAGATTAGCTGTTATTGATAATTTGAGCTAAATCCATGGAATAGATTTGGAGTAATATGGTTTTCAAAACTACGAATTTTACAAAGAATGTATGGGCTCATTAGCGTTTTGCCACACAGCCCGATTTTCCATTGTTCTCAAAACTGATATATAGTGTTTAAAATTGCATGCAAAAAGCTCAAAGTGTTGTGAAATCTGTAGATTTACGAGGTTTTCTAAGTTTTGATTTAAGTTTTCTTATTTCGKGGCTTTTTTCTGTGTGGCAAAGTCTGTGTGGCAAAGCACTAATGAGCCCATACATTCTTTGTAAAATTCGTAGTTTTTAAAGCCATATTATGCGAAATCTATTAGATATATCAAGCTCAAATTTTCGTGGAGTGCTAATTGAGCTAATATCTGTAAATATTCAGTATAGATTTGGATTTAGCTTGTTTAAAAGCAAAAAAGCTAAATGCTAATGAGGAAAATCATGTAAACAAAGATCCACCTATACCATGATCACCTGCAGATGTGTGATAAGGCCAGACAAAATTACAACAAACACATGATGATAGACTATTATCATTTACTATAACCACCTTGTGCAATTTTCAAACTGGTAAGGTGTAAAAGGTCCAATGTAGTATATCTGAGTGCAGACATGTGTTGATTTTGGAATGTTTTTTTTCAAATGACATTCTCAATTAGAATTTTSTACCTGAGCACTCTTTACTTGTTTTGTCAAGCTTTTCTTGTGCAATTAGAAGTTGATCTTTTGTCATCCGTAGTTCTTGTGTAGTGTTTGTTACTTTAGTCTTCTCCTTTTCCAAACTTTCTTTCAGTTCTTTGATTAAAGCGTCATAAGCTATAAATATAATCAATGCAATATGAATGYCCAAAACTGTACAAAACCACTGAGAGCCAAATACATGCTCAATGAGAAACTGTAAATTCAAACTTGACCTTTTTRTGATGCACACCATGTTGGATTCAAATAGAAATGTGAGATACGTGCATCTCTTGGTTATAAAKGATCTCATCCTTTATCATACCTTCAATATTTTTTGTGGCATTCTTCTGTGCAYTAGCAAATGTTTCTTGTATGCTTTTCAATTGTTGAAGCATCTGGTGAAATTTTGCTTTATAAAAATCATTGTTGGTCTGAAATGAAGAAGTGATGGATAATTTACATACATGAAATTTCAAAAAAATAATAATGATTTTTGATGGTTCCTTTGGGATTATTTACCTGCTTATCACTGACCATTTCTTCATTGTTTTCCTGATCCTCTATCATTTCAACATCCTTACTTCCGTTATTAGAAGAAACTACACCTTCAACACTGTTACACGGTTCATTCATTTTGGTTTCATTCATTGCACTTACACCATTCATTTCTTCTTCAGAACTAGAAGAATTGTGAATAGTCTTGCTTCTATTTCTTTGTGATTTTTTTGCAATATAACTCCTCTTCAGAGCGCTGAAACTCCTGGTTCTTGCAGCAACTGGAGTTACATTGCTTGGAGTTTCACTAGTTGGGCTGTTTGGTGAGCTCWCATCAGCTGTAGGTGTAGTGTGTAMATCTTTTAGTGGAGAATCATTCTCCTTCTCTTGGACCTTCTTGGTTGTACATTTTCTTGGTATTCTACTTGGTGTAACACCAATTTTATCCAATCTCACAGTCAATAAATTAGTTTTCTATAAAATATTGAAAAAAAAAACACATGATTGGATAAGCAAAATAAATAATTTTTCTAGGTTGGTTGCAAGAGTAGTGAAAATAAAGAACATTACCAAAAAAGTCAAAAAAGCAATCTAATTTAACCTTTTTGGCAGGCTTTTCAGATTCTTCATCAGGAGACGAGCTCTTCTTCTTTCTCTTGACTGTAGTTTTACATGGTCTTCGAGGAGTTGTGTCTTCGATTCTCCGTTTTGCTGCCTGCCTTCCGCATGATCTTGTTACAACTGGCATATTAAATCATATGTTGACTTTTATGACATTCGTTTCCTAACTCCTTCCAAAACGTAGRGGGAAATCTGCTATCAAGAAGAGTTGTCAAAACACAACCGTTTGTCTTTTGTAAAATGGCGGGATTAGAGACCTGTAACCAGGCCACTCTCGGTTGAATTTTAACAAAGGAGGTCCAATTTCTTACTCTCTCAGTTTGTTTTTAAAAAACTATAACTCGAAATGTATGTTATAGCTTTCATTTAAGGAAGTATTTTAAAATRGAAAGACTGTTGATAGTATTTTATGAATAATTTTGAAAATTGTGATATTTCGATCTTTTCCCCTCCCCTCCCCTCCAGTGTATTTTGCGGGGCTTTGGCACACACCTCGTCGTTGCAAATGTGGTTGCTTGTCTGTCGACGTCCATAGTAGTTCGTTTTGGAAAAGCTGAATATGAGTAAGGTAGGGATAACGTGAGTAGATATACTCATTAAAGAATTATATATCGCGCAAGGATGTTCTTTGTCAAGTTGTCAGATAAATATTATGGACCGATACGTAAAATTTAGTCTTACGTACGTGCACTAATTGTGTGCTTCCATGTGCGGTTGCTGCATTCACGTTCTTTACRTGTAAAGAGCTAATCTACCGCGATCAAATACTGAATTATGTTACTGTGAAATGAAGAAATTCTTCTYTCTCCAACCTTCAGCAGATGTCGATCTGGTCCTACAATAATCGCCTTGATCGATCACGCCATATTTTACACGGTGGTATAAAAAATAAATAAATGGAATGGAGGAACGACGGACTACGGATTGGTGGACTAAACCACTTGGCGTTTCAGTTGTTGATTTGTCATTATTATGTATAAACTAATTTATTTTCCATTTCATAGCCTCCCATTCACTCAGCACTTCTTCCCATTTCCTGGCTAATTGGGAAGTGGAAGGGACATGGCACTGGTGTATTTCCAACAATTAAACCTTTTGAGTACAATGAAGAAATTCACTTCRACCACTTTGGAAAACCCATCATGACTTACAAGTTAGTTGAAGTTGACAATGTATCAACATTAGTGTTTTTCTCAAATATTTTACACATCTTTTTGCAATGTTTGTTTTTATTAGTACTAAAAGCTGGAGTGTAGATGCATCACAAGTTCCCATGCATTATGAAAGTGGTTTTCTAAGGGTAAATCCCAGCACATCAGTTGTCGCTTTCATGGTATCACACAATGCTGGTATGTTTGTTGTCTTATATCACAAGTATTCTGAACAACAGAATAAAAAGCTTCATAATCAATAATCAAGCTCTTTTTCATCTTGATAATTTCACCACATGCATTTTGAATGCTGTCACAAAATCCCAAGTTSAAATAAATTAATTTTTCATAGGTTTCACWGARATAGATGAAGGGAACATTGAYAAGGATAAAGAMACATGTGACACAATTTGCTTAAAGTCACACAGCATTGGAAGGATGTCTTTTAGTGCTGCACCAAAAGTAACAAAGGTATAGAACCCTGTGTACATAGTCATGAGGCAAACCTAAGCACTCAACTAAAGGCTTTGTCTCCCATTCATTTATATATTTCTAAAAGAAAAGTGACAGTACTTTCYGAGAAAGTTTCTTCACTAACCAATGTTTCTTGGTAATGCCAAACAAGTACCTTGGGCAGTCAAATGCCTTGGATACCATTTTACTATTGTATGTACGCTTYCAAAACCCATTCCTGGATRGAAAAAGATKGTATATACATRGACCATACATTGAACTTGTTAATATTTTGATACTTGCTGCAGACACCAGACATGTGTGGTATGAAATGTGTCTGTTCATGTTAATGCTTAGGTGGACATTACTGAAACAAACTTTTCTCTTGTATCAACAGATTGAAAGAGTCTACAAACTCATTGACAAAGACACAATGGAGTACAATATGTCCATGGAGACTGACAAATCACCACACAGCAATCACCTGAAAATCACCTACAAGAGGATTAGTGATGATTAAAGACATGATTACAAAAAGATATATATTAGTGTAGCAAGATGAAGTAAAGTTCAGCTAAATGCAATTTTTCATGAATATCCAATACTTTGTTAACATATATTCAGAAGGATGTGAACACATTTTATAGTATATTTGTTAGAAAATAATAATGGAATAACATGGTTTAATTGGAAATTTTCTGTTATAATTGTCACAAATGTTGATGTGTAACAAACTATGTTGATAATAATAGATTACAATAAGTATTTSTTATATTAAGTACACATTTTGAAATATATATGACTTCAATATTAATCAGTTACAGTAATAATAATACCCAACTTTCTGTAACTTTCTCATAAACAACCTCAACAAGTATAATTTTGGCATCCAATACCTATAAATTTAACTGCTTATAAATTTACATCACTAGAATTTTTAATAGAGCTTTTTGATTAAACAAAGTACACCACAAACTTTCCAAACAAAACAACTCAGTACCTGCTCAATACTTACTTAATCAACTAAATGACAACCTTTCAAAACTTAATGTAAAACAATCACTTAGATGCCACTTTGTCATAAACTTAGAAAATCCATAACATTAATCACTTAATATCAGAAAGCACTTGATCCTATTTCCTTTTAGGATCAGTGAACAATAATATTGTCTGGACATAATAATATCTTTTAGTAAGTGTCAAAACACCTGCAGGTTGGTGTGACTATAAGGGAAGAGTGGTTTCATCTGTACTGTGTGAAAGGTTGAAGACACGCTTGCTGTTTTTCACTGCTGCCTTAGCAACCTCCTCCACTGTGATATCCATTACCTTGGCAACCATTTGAGCAACAACTGGAAGAGTGCATGGTTCATTTCTGCTTGGTTGGCACTTTCCTAGGAGTGATCTACCAACACTATCAAGACTAGTGATAGGAGCATTAGGAATCATGTATGGAGCACCACTTTCCAGTAAGATTCTGTCAAGAGGGCAATCCTTGAGAGCTTCTCTTAGCTGCTTGCCTGCTTTTTCTGGATAAAATAAACAAAAAACATCCTTAGCTATATCATTTCTTATGAAATTTAAAAAATGAAGCTGCAATAAGCAATGTGTGTTGAGATTTACTTAGTAAACAATTATTATTTCCTCAAGGTAGCATAAATTGGTGAAACAATAATTGTACACCTTTCTTTATAAATCTAAAGAATACTGGTTTATCAACTCTATTGTGGGAAGCACAAATCATGTC